TGTGTTAACATAAAAACATTCAAACCTGTAAAGAATTTTTGTGAGTTTATTTGAGCCAAACTGTCAACATATGCCGGGAAGCAGAACCTCAACGAATTGAGATGATGCTCCGGAGATTGGCGGATTACATCTATATATATCTATACACTAAAGGCCTGGTGCATGAAATTTGTGCACCCGGAGTCGGGGGTTCCTCAGTCCGGCCTGCGCCCTCTCTCAGTTTGGGAGCCCCCTGGAGAGCAGGCCTGAGCCGTCAGTCAGACATCCTTAGCGCTGCCACCACAGAGGCGGGAGAGGCTCCACCACACGCTCACCAGCCGAGAGCCCCGCTTCTGGCTGAGCAGCTCTCCCCCTGTGGGAGCGCACTGACCACCAGGGGGCAGCTTCTTGTTGAGCAGCTTCCCCCTTGGTGATCAGTGGGTGTCATAGTGACCGGTAGTTCCGCTGTTCCGTCAATTTGCATATCAAAGGAAGGGACGTAGGTGGGTTACATGAAATCCATTTGTGATAGACCAGAGAGGTGAGATAAAGCAAAGTGGGGAAGCCCCTGGGATTGGATAAAAGTAAAATGATAGACACATACTTAGGGGGTGCAAGAACAATTAATATAACAATGAAAGAATTTGTGGTATCTGTCCTGGTGTGCCCAGGCATGTTGGGTTGTACCCCAAGAGGTCCAGAAAAAGGGAAGTTACAAGTTACCCAGACATTTTAAGGGTATGTTATTATAGATACAAAAAGACAGATAGGCTCAGTTAAGGTAAAGGTTGACCTTGTCACTGAAGATACCAGCCTAGGATGTAATTATCCATCATAACTGCTTTTAGTTAAAGTTTAATTTCAGGCCATCCTATGTGGTTACTTTAGGTCTCTGAGTTTGAAGACCAGACCGCCATGCAGGCCTTCCCTGAGCTTGTTAGGTTAGCATGTGGCCCCTTTCGTCCACATCTGTTTGAGAAGGGCGACAGTACCATGGAGAGGAGGACCTCCTCGGTTGTAAGCGTTTGTCTGGGCTTGTTCTAATGTTAGACCTGGGGGAAAACACACAAAAGAAAAGTCATTCCCTGACCTCCTGAAGTTTATAACCTCCCCTTGTGCTTGAAGTAATTCCCCAGGAGGTCACACAAGTCCCTCACTTCATCCAGGTTGTTGTCAAGGATTATCTCTACAGCGAGACTTTCCCTCATTGCCCTGTCACAATAGCACCCCACTTCCGTTGTCTGCTTTTTCATGTTTTTGTTATTTTTCTTTTCTTCAATGTACCTGACGTTACATTGGTTGGTCAGTTTGTTTTTGTTTCCTCAAGTTTACACTGTAATGTATACTTCATTTTACACTAGACGTGATCAGTTTGCTCGCTATTGACTTCCTGATACATGCATGGTGTCTGGCGTGTAGTAGGTGCTCAGTGAATGTAGGTGAATAAGTGGAACAGTTGAGTAATGTGGCTGCAAGGTAGGTGGGAAGAGGACAGGTCTGGGTATCAGGTCTGGGTTATGATTCCAAATTCATTCAGTTTTTAGCTGTGTGAACTCAGCCAAGCCCCTGGACTCCTTTGGGCCTTGGACATTTCATCGCCACCATGAAGGGGAGGAACGAGGTGCTCTCTAAGGCCACTCTGATGCTTACATTCTGGAGCCACAGGGTTGTAGCGGAGTTTGGAAAGATCTTGTATCCTGTGACATTATGAAGGCTGGGTCTTAGAAAGACTGCTCGGATGGCTTGGATTGTGTGCGTTGGTACACTGTGATTTTAGATATTCCATTCACTGGGTTTTGGAGCATTTGGTGTGAGTCAGGGTCTTGTCCTGACTCTGGGGTTACAGTGGTGAGGCGGCAGAGAGCCAGCATTCCTCTCTCTCGGAGCTGATGATGATAGGTGGAGAGGGGCTAGTGTTGGCTAGGTGCTGGTTATGACCCCACCTGAGCTGAAGATGATGGGGAAGGATTTACTGGGATATGAAAGGGATCTTTCCCCCCCAAATTTATTCTTGGAAAAATACTTAAATAGAGCTCTTAGAATCTGTTTAAAAATAAATACAGTCATATGAGGGTGTTAAAGGGAAAAATAAAGTATTAATAGCAGTTCGGGTAGGTTGGAATTATGGGGATTTGGTTTTTAACCTGATTTCTCTGATGTTCTATATAGTGTCTGTATTACTTCTGACAAAGATTCCCTGTCATGTTTATGACTTCGTCCCTGGGTGTGGCCTGCTCTTGAGTGGGTCTCATGTTTGCTGATGTCTGCCCACAAAGTCCTAGCCTAAGGACATTTACGAACTTCCAGCCTCAGTTTTCCTACCTGTAAATGAGGGTAATACTTGGCCCTGGTCTGCCCACTTTACAAGCCAGCTGTTTGAATTAGAGGAGATGGTGGAGGAAAACATTTGGAAGTTTACTCTCTGCAAAGGGAAGGGCCAGTGCACTAGCAGTGGGGCCCAGGGCAGTGAGGACGGAAGTGGGAATGTCTGTGTGCAGAGAAGAGGGATGGGGTTGGTCCGGAGGGCACTGCCTTGACCACAGTGAGGAGCAGTTTTCCAGGCCATTGTAGTTCCCCAGCTCTCCTTAACTAGCAGGTAGACACCACTGTGTAAGCTGTTTGGGAAATGACTTTAGCGAAAGAATCATGACAGCTCCTAACCACTGCCGCACATATTCCTAAAACCCACATGCTCTGCTAAAAGGGACATTTGAACCAACAGGCTTTGAAATCTTGATTATTCACGGTGACTGACTTCTTTCTTGCGGGTCATCTGGTCAAGTTTGGATTCTCAAAAGAGTTGAAATTTATTGGCTTTCTATCCCGCTTCTATAGCAGCTTGTCCTCTCCTGACAGTCTTTCCTTGAGTCCTGAACAAGGGGGAATAGAAGGTCTTGGTATCAGGTGTTTGTAGTCTGAAGGCTGACTCAGTGATGGGGGCAGGGTATGTTCTGAGACTCACCATCAGGGCTGGTCTGTGGAATGCTGCCTCTTCTCCTCCCCACCTAGCTGTATCAATTCCCTACTTTTCTACTTTTAAAAAAATATATGTTTTTTATTTTAGAGAGAGAAGAAGGGATAGAGAGAGAATCATCAATGCGAGAAACACTGATGGGTTGTCTCCTGTGTGCACCTGGACAGGGGACTGAACCTGCGTCTTGAGTATGTGCCCTGACTGGGAATTGAACTGGTGATCTTTTGGTGTACAGGATGACACTCAACCAACTGAGCCACACTGGTCAGGGCAATTGCCTACTTTTCCATTTTCTCTTCCCTGCAGATGTCAAGCCTTCTAACATCCTGGTGAACTCCCGTGGGGAGATCAAGCTCTGTGACTTCGGAGTCAGCGGGCAGCTCATCGACTCCATGGCCAACTCCTTTGTAGGCACAAGATCCTACATGTCGGTATGAGCAATGGGTTCCATTTCTTGAGCTTCTGCTCTGGTCAGGGATAGGAACTAAGTGGGTTCCTTCCTGTGGAGCCAGAACCTGGTGATGGAGGTTTTGGGGGGAAATGAGTGGTGAAGCATTATGGTCCCTTCCTGAGGAGATTTCAGTCTGACAGGGAGGTAGATGGTCTTAGGCTTTCATAGGCCTTGAGCATAACTGGGGTAGTGGGCCTGGTCATGAAGGTCTTCCCTTCTGTTTCCAACTCCACAGTTCCCACTGCCACCAGAGCTCTGGGTCAGGCTGTGCCCACGACCATGGCAGCACCAACTGTTTTCCTCCCTCCTCCATACAGCAAGCTCTTGGGCAGGGATAAGACTGTAGGTGTCTGTGTTGTCCCCAGGCTCTGGCTCAGGGCCTGGCACAGGGTGGGTGCTGAGGGGATGGTTGGTGAGTGGGTGAATGTTTGGTTGACTGAATGGGTGGGAAGTGGCTAGCATGCTCCTTAGGATGATTCAGAGAGGGGGAAGCTTGCCTGGATGAGTGCTGAGTGGAGCAGAGTAGAGGAACATTAGAGTGAGTGGTAGGTGAACGTGAGTGCAGGGCTGGATTGGAGGGGCCAGGCACAGACTCAGGCATCTTTGAACAGAGAGTGTTCAATGAGTTATCTTTCAAGTACTTTCACAACTTTGAGTGATCTCATTTGATCCATATGATTCTTTCCATTTTAGAGATGAGGAAATATAGATTGAGGGAGGTTAAGTGACCTGCTTGCTTTACCTTGCCGACCCAGGATTGAAAGCTAGATCTCTTTCTTGCCAGTCAGTCTCTCTTTGCACCCATTCCCTCACTTGCATCTTAGGTAGGATTTTTAAGCTGCTCCTGGCCTCCCTGTGTGGAAGTTCATGGTCACATCTTCATTTCTTCTCGCCTGCCCCCTTCCCCACCACAACTCCAGTCATTGCCGACATCACTCAACCAGCGCTGGCCCACACCTCCACCCTCCGCTCCAGTGACCCACAGTCTTAAACAGGAAACCCACGGGCCCTTCAGAACTCTCTTTCCCTGCCATCCCCTCATTGCTTAGTCCTTACATGTCTGAAAACTGGGCCACTCAACTGCCAGCTCTCAAATTCAAAATTAATTAGCAGGTCCTGGGACTTGCTGATCTAGGGGTTTGTTTAGTGGTTTGGGTTTTTGTGGCTATGTGGTCAGTTCCAAAATAGTCCAGTGTTAGAGTTAGGGAAAAATCCTACGGGAGAAGTTAATTTATTGTCTAAATAAATGTATGATGGCTTTGGCTGGTGTGGCTCAGTTGGTTGGGCGTCGTCCAGTGCACTGAGAGGTTGCCTGCCAAATTCCCAGTCAGGGCACCTGCTTGGGTTTCGGGCTTGATCCCCGAAAGGGGGCAGGCAGGAGGAAGCTGATCGATGCTCCACTCTCACATCAATGTTTTTTTCCCCTCTCTCTTTCTCTAAAAATCAATTTTAAAAATCTTTAAAAAAAATGTATGATGGTCAGAATAAGGATTTTTATATAGTTTTTGAAATACTTGTGCTATTTCAAATAATGCTTTAATATAGTACTATATTCTTTTTCTTTGCTTCTTCCCACTAGTAACAACTCATACAACATTTTGCAACATACATGTATTTTCGTTTGCCTTTGAACTCCCTGATCACCCTAGTAAGTTGAGCGCATATTTTATATTACTGTTGTTACCATCATCGCCAGCCCTCATTTTATAGATGTGGAAATGGAGGCTCAGGGTCATGTAGCTTAGAAGTCTCAGAGTGGGATTTGAACCCATGTCTTCTGAACACAGATCGTTTTGCTTTTCTGCCATTCCAAAAGCAATGAGTCATTAGTAGAGCTGGGCTTTGAACTTCTTTCTATTCAATGCACCATCTCATTCATGACCCAGGTTCCAGAAGCTTCATGTTTCAGACTCAGGTAGCAAGGTGAGCCTCTCATGCTGGTCAGAGTGCCCACCCATGCAAGACAGTGGCCAGGCTGGGCAGCGCTGGAACCACAGCTGGGCTGGATGCGGTTCTGGGCAGGTTACAGGGGAGACAGAGAATTGAGGAGGGGTCAGAGCTATGAGAGCTGGCTAGGACTTGGTGAGCACGGTATTTGGGGACAGGCAGAAGGCCAAAGTCAGTAGGTCAGTGGAGGTATTAACATGGCATGTGACCTCTGGAGACGAAAGGGCAAAAGAAAATGAAATGTCTGAGCAGCCCAGGGGGAAGCCCACTCTCCTGCAGTGCAGGCAGGTCTCACGGGGCAGGAAGTCCTGAGGCTTGGGTTGAGGGACCCCACCTCTCTTCTGCGTGGGCGCAGGCTGGCTCATTGGTGTTAGTAACTGTTTCTGTCTCCCCTGCAGCCGGAGAGACTCCAGGGGACTCATTACTCGGTGCAGTCGGACATCTGGAGCATGGGGCTCTCTCTGGTGGAGATGGCGGTTGGGCGGTATCCCATCCCTCCTCCAGATGCCAAGGAGCTGGAGCTGATGTTTGGGTGCCAGGTGGAGGGCGATGCGGCTGAGACACCACCCCGGCCAAGGACCCCGGGGAGGCCCCTTAGCTGTGAGTGTCACGGTGTGCTCCAACTTGGAGTGTGGGCTTCCTTACTGTTGGGCATTTCTGGAGGGCCAAGTCCCTGTCTCAGGATGCCAGGCTGGGGCGGGGGAAGCAGGGCAGAAGTCTCCAGGTTAGTGTAGGAAATGACTGTTATTACCAGCAACTTCTTACCATTTATTGAATGCTGCTATGTTCCCAGCACTGCACTTTTAATTTTTAAAAATCCTGACATGATTATTTTGGTGAGATAAAATTCATATAACATAAAACACACATTTTAAAGTGTTCAGTTCAGTGGTATTTAGTATATTCCTCCATGTAGTGCCATTATTTCCACTGTGTAATTCCAGGACATTTCTGTCACTACAAAAAGAAATCTCATCTCCATTAGCATTCACTCCCAACTCCCCCCATCTCATCCCCAGCAATCTATTTTCTGTCTCCATGGATTTACCTACCATTGTCTAACTTTAATAACAGTTGTGTGTGAGCGCTAAATATTCTCTATTTTAGATATAAGGAAACTGAGGCACAGAGCGCTTGACTTGCAAAGGCCACACGCACTTGGGATTGGCCAGTTCTGACTCCATGCAGCACTGGCTGCCTCTTTGAACCGGAATAGTGTGAAGTAAAGCTGGCCCACCCATCTTCCAATATAGGTCCTGCTAGGACTTCCTGTCTGACCAGGGAGACCTGGTCTTTATCCTCATAAGGCCCACATGGGAGAGGGCATGTATAAAGGGAGAAGCATTGAGAGGCTGGTAGCTGCCGCCCCTCAGGCTGGACTTTGACTCAGGAATATAAAAGAAAAAAAATTTTTTTTCAGGGAGAATTAAAACTAAGTTTTTTAGTTGTTTAGTATTATCTCATTTGCTCCTCTCTCAATATGAGGAAGGGCAGACATAAATATTATTCAAAATTCAAAACAAGGCTTAGTGACAATTGATTTGCCCAAAGTAAAAAACCTTTGATGTGGCAGAGCCCACACTCATACCATGGCTGGCCTGGCTCTGTGACCTTTGCTGGTCCCTGTGTGTTCAGGCCTGATCTGTGGCTGTTCTGTCTCTTTACCATCCACTACCCTGTTCTAGTCCCCAGGTTCCAAAACCAACACATATCCTCTTACTGGCAAATAACCTCCCTTCTGTTTCTGAGAAGTGTTTTCTTCTTTCTTTTTTATAAAATCTGTAGCTTATGGAATGGACAGCCGACCGCCCATGGCAATTTTTGAGTTATTGGATTACATAGTCAATGAGGTAAGTACTACGTAGTTTCCGTGACCCTGGAATCTACTTGGTCCTCTTAAGAAAAACTCACAGTTGAATTGACTGGGAAACCCATGAGTCGTTCCCACAATATGGGCTGCTTGAGACCCAGGATTCCTGGGTTCTGCTTTGTGCATCATGCTTTTGGAATCGAGTTGCTGGTTTAGAGGCTGCAGGAATCCCTTCCCCAGGGAACATCTTCAGGTAAGTTTGAGTCCATCTTCTTTTCTCAGATTCAGGAGCCTCCACCTTACCCATTTACGTTCTCACTTCTTCATTTCTTGTGCACTTTCTATGTGCTAAGGACTGTGGGGTGGCAGGAATGTGGTGTAGATCTGAAGATGGGAAAACCCAAAGTCCCTAGTCTTAAAGACTGTTATTAGATTGTCTAGGGCAGTGGTTGGCAAACTCATCAGTCAGTAGAGCCAAATATCAACAGTACAACAATTGAAATTTCTTTTGAGAGCCAAATTTTTTAAACTTCTTCTAACACCACTTCTTCAAAATAGACTCGCCCAGGCCATGGTATTTTGTGGAAGAGCCATATTCAAGGGGCCAAAGAGTCGCATGTGGCTCTTGAGCCGCAGTTTGCCGACCACGGGTCTAGGGGAAGCAAACAATGCATTTATAATTGCAATATTAGGTTTTGTCTTGTACCATTTAACGGCAATGAACAGCCTGCCAGAGTGGCTCAGTTGGTTGAGCCTGTCCCATGCACTAAAAGGTTGTCTGTTCCATTCCCAGTCAGACACAGACCTGAATTACTGGTTCTATCCCTAGTCCAGGAGCATATGGGAGACAACTGATCAATGTTTCTGTTTTTTTCTTTCAATGTTTCTTTCTAACATGGCTATTACTCTCTCCCTCTACTTCCCTCCTTTCTCCCCTCCCTCTCTTTCTTTGCCTTCCTTCCTCTCCCTCTCTGTCCCTTTTCCTCTCCCCTCTTCCTCTCTCTAAGCATGTTCTGAATGAGATTAAAACAATAAAATAAAATAAATTAAGAAATGAACATAAAAAATTATAGCGTTGAAATATGGAAAATATTTACTACAAATTGTTGCATTCAAAAAAGCAGATTATAAAATAGTATGTATATTATAATCACTCTCTCCTTTCCTCTCTCTAAAAATCAATTTTAAAAATAGTATATATGGCCGGGACCGGTTTGGCTCAGTGGCTAGAGCGTCGGCCTGCGGATTGAAAGGTCCTGTAGGGGATGTGCAAGAGGCAGCTGATCGATAATTCTCTCTCATTGATGTTCCTAACTCTCTATCCCTCTCTCTTCCTCTCTGAAAAATCAATAAAATATATTTTAAAAAAATAGTATATATGCATATATGTGCATATAAAGTCTGGAAAAGCAATACAATACAGATAGAATTACAGATGATTAAAGGTTGTTTTTTTTTTTGCTTATCAGTTAGCTGACTTTAATATAAGGAATACATATTATTTGTAAATATGTATACCAGTATGTTTAAATGAAAAAAAAAACGATAGCTCTGGCTATGTACCTCAGTTGGTTAGAATTTTGTCCCAAACGCCAGATTATGGGTTTGATCCCCAGACAGGACACATACAATAATCAGCCAGTGAATGCATAAATAAGTGGAACAAATCGATGTTTCTCTCTTCCTTTAAAAATCAATAATTTTTTAAATGGTTAAAAAAGAAAAGAAAGGATCAAGGAAGGAAGAGATTGATAAGCATTCATCAAATTTGGGTGGGCTTGGATGGGAAGCTATGGACTAGCACCATGGTTGCTTAAGGGGGTAGGGCAGGGCTGGAGGACTGGACTGGGGCTCAGGACAGGATTTCTGAGGATGGGCCAGCACTCTTGGCCTCAGGAGCAGCATGGATAGTGGACAACATGGATAAGCTCTGGTGTGTTTGGAAGGTAGTTGAAGGCCCCCATTCAGCTGGGGGTGTAGGAAAGGGTATCATCCTGTTTTCTTCTTCCTTAAGAGACCAGTGGAATAACTTTTCTTATTTTCTTACTGCTCTCTGAAACCAGATCCCAAAAGGCTCATAAAGGTCCCCTTATCTATTACAAATTCAACAGGGAAGGTCCTGGCACACACTAGCAGTTAAGAAATCACTGTCTCAGGTTAACTGACCTCTCTTTCCTGACTGCCCAGCTTTAAGCTCAGCACCATGGGACATAGAAAAGAAGTCCAGGATCTGATCATGGCTGCTTAAGGACGCAGAAAAGGCCCTGTGCTGTGCATTTGTGGTAGTCAGGAAAGCCATCCTCTGCTGTTGCTGGGACCGTAGCTGAGAGTGGTGCTTGGTGGGAGCCACGGTAAGGGAAGAGAGCGCCTGAGGTTATAATGAGCTGCCAGTTGCCTAGTTTGCACCGCTTTCTTCCATATTTTCACATTTTCCTAATCATTCTCTGAGCACTGTTTGGGTGGGTCCAATAGGTTTTGTTGTCTTTTCATATAGGTGAGGCTCCAGGATGAAAGTGGTTCAGATTCCTCCCACTTAGTGCTATTCCTCCCTTAACACCTTCTCTTCCCAACCCTCAGACCCCAGAACTTTCCCGGAGGCTGGACTGCATGGTGACAGGTGCATGCACCTGCTCCGGTGCACATTCCCTCCCTTGCCTGGCCCCTCCTACTCAGCACAGCCTGGCCTCTGGAGGCCAAGCTCTGGTTTCACCCATGAATGCTCCCTTCAAATTTCCCTCAGCAGCAGAGATGGTCTGCAGGGGGGGCCTAAGAGCTGGGTTTTAGTCCTAGACCTCAGATTAGGCTTTTTCACTGGATGTTCTTATAAGGCATTCAGGGGAAGAGGGCTAGGCTAGAATTTTTTGTAGTGTTATTATTTAACTTTTAGCCTTGAGCCACCTGTTTATTTGGGCAGCCCAACAGAGCAATGGCATCCTGGGTTGGGTCTGGGTGTCAGCTCACGAGGAAGGTCGCATGGGGGGGTGGGGGTGTCATGTTTTCTGAGCTGTGGTGCATAGGAGCCGGGCGCTGCAGGGCCTCGTCCTGTGTAGCCCTGAGTGATGTCCACCATGCATCCTTGGAAAATGAGCTGTGGCCATGTTCTTGCTCTGGTGAGTGCAAACAGCTTCATTCCAGAAGTGAGCCTGCAGCTAACATTCTCCCAGCCCCAGCCCTCTGCCAGTTAATGTTTTATTAACCTTTCTCTGTTTCTCCAGGCTTAGAAGGGGGATACACATTTTGTTTAGCTAGTTAGCCTTCCCTGACTTTCACAGGTGCTGCCAGAGCTGGAGTGTATCTAGTGGTTGCATATACCCCTAGCTGCTGCTGTTAATTGCTGGCTATTTCCATGCCACATTCCAAGACTTATTGTCATAGTGTGAGGTGGAAAGGGTCATGAGGCCCTTCTCATTTTATAGAAGGGTAAACTGAAACTCAAGAGGAACAGTGATTTGTCAGTAACTAAACAAGTGAGTGGTTCTAACTGGTTTGAGACCAGAGGTTCCACCACAGTGACCCAGCAGCCAGCCATTGGCCCTGACCCTTGACCTTTCCTTGACTGGATAAGGGCAGCACTGCCCAGAGACAGGGTTGGGGAGGAGAGATGCCTGGGGCAGGAAGCCAAACATTTGTTTTCTTAAAGATTTGTCTTTATTTATTTATTCCTCACCTGAGGATATGCTATTCGTTTTGAGAGAGGAAGGGAGAAAGAAACATTGATTTGGTTGCCTCCTATATGCACTCCTATCAGGATTGAACCCCAAACCCGGGTATATGCCCTGACTGGGAATTGAACCCGCCTCCTTTCGGTGTATGGGATGACACTCCAAGCAACTAAGCCACACTGGCCAGGGCAGGAGGCCTGACATTTCTTATGTGTTGACATGTATTTGCAGCCCCCTCCAAAACTGCCCAGTGGAGTATTCAGTCTGGAATTTCAAGATTTTGTGAATAAATGGTAAGTTGGCTCCCTGTTATCTGGAAGAGTACCCCATTTTTGTAAGGCTCCCCACCCCATCTGACAATGGCAGTCGGTAAAATAGCCACTACTTTTGGCACATGCTTTACATGGGTTGGCATACTGCCTTTTGACCTTAGTTCAGCAAGCATCTATCAGTGCTCTGTGGGCATGACATTGTGCTATGAACAG